CATGTATTCTGTAATCTGTAATGGAATACATTTTAAAAGTAACCTTCCCAACACTGTCTACCTCACCTCCATTGATGCACATTCATATCACCTTAAAATATCTTGAGCTGCTGTTCATTTTAAGATTATGAACTTAATGATCAGACCAAGGAGCAGAAGTGTAAGCCGTATAAATCCAGCACTTAAGATTTCCTTCAAAGACTCGCTTCTTCTCCAAGAAGATCATGCGTGGAATCCATGAGCTCTCCGCTCAGTGATGTTTACAGTGTGGCTCTTTTAAATGGCCTTTTGCACCTGGTTAATGACATTTAGCTCAGACTAATTGAGAGGCCACAGATAACCATCTGAGTTGCCATTTGGCCTGCTGAGGGAAAAGCGGCGCAGTCTGACAGGTGAAAGCGTAGAGACGAGGGGGTTGGCTTCTCTTGCAAGGTGGGGAGAAGTGATGTGGTTGTGTCGGGTTTGGAAGAGCAAGCACTGAAGCTTCTCTCTGTCTGCTTCACCTCTCTGGGAGCAAAGGGGAGACAAGGTGAAGCTCTCGGCATCTCAGGCACACACACATCATGTGTGACGTATGCACGCATATTGCCGCTCTGTCAGCACCTGCACCCCCTGCTCCCCACGCCTGCCAATTACCACTTTACCTTTTGCTGGGTGCGCTATCAGGACATGCCATCTCATTAGAACATCCAGCTGGGCACAGCCAAAGGCCAATCCCTGCACACAACCAACTGTTTAAAGGTCAGCTCGCACCACTGCTGGACACTGCCGCTCTTAGCTCTGCAGGTATGGAGAGTCTGGGAAACTCATGTAAAGTGTATATTTGCCATGCGATGGGGGTCCTTACAGCAGGTTTTCACAAGACTGTTAGCTTCTTGTTAGCTAGCAAGGATTAGGACAGATGTGTGTGAATGCGTGTGAGAAGCGAGAGTTTGCGTATTAGTCACAAAGACCGCCTGATGGCTTTCATTAGAATGAGCTGCTGTCCTTTTGGCAAATGAATCATCATTGTAATCTGATTGCTGTCAAAGATTTATTAATGAGAGGGGATAGCAGGGATTTTAGTCACGGTCCAGGCACCCAGAAAGGACACTGCTTTGATTGTTCCCTCACTGTGGGGGTTGCCGATTCAGGTAATGCTGCTGCATTTCTCAGAGGAATTATTCGACGTTATGTTTGTGTTACGTCGACGAAAGGATTAAACACAAGCTGAATGTAATAACTGAAAACACTGATTATATTTAGCATGAGTAATCTCTTTAATCTGATGAACAGTGGAAGAAATACTGAGAGAGAGAAAAACAGTGATTATTAGGATTGATTTTTTCTTTCCACATTTTGGTTGTTAATGTTCATCAAGTATGGACAAATGCACTCATATCGAGTGACTATGAAATTCTTTGACAAAACACTGAGGATCAGTGCTTTATCACTCCGAATGGGATGATAATTTAAAAAATGAACTCCATATTAGAGCCAATAAGAGTAGAAACAGTTTAGACAGTAACATCATCATGAAACAGTTTCCTGAGGTCATAGATGAAGTAAGAAATAGGGTCATTTTTTCATAGATTTCAACACAACCGGACTTCTTTTTGTTGGCCAGTTATGGCCTCATCACACAGATGTCTTAAATCATCATCAGACTTTAAGCATGGCAGTATAAAAAGTGGAAAAAGAGACACAAACAAATGAATACATGATGGCAAAACCAGGGGGGCTTACCCATCTGTTCAACTATGTCCGGAGGGAACACTCGGGAGGCGAAGGCTCTCCGGAAGATGTCCGAGAACTCCTTGTCAAGGCCGCCAATGCCCATTCTCTCAAAGTTCCAGTCTGGGCTAATAATAGACTGGCGTGACTCTCGAGTCTTAGATTTCCCTGGAGGATAAAACATTAAAATGTTTATTATTCACTCAACAGTACACTTTTAATTCCTTTTTCCTCCGTTTCACGTCGCAAGCTTTATTTTGATGTGCATCAAAGTTATTTAAAATTTTAAAATGTAACTTTAAACTCTCCTTGAGCCAGTTTTGGTTTCGGCATTTAAAATATTGCATTAATAAGTCACCCAATGCCTTTAAACCCCAAAGGCCAAGCTAAGTGAGTGAAGTGTGCCCCCTTGTGGTACTTTAGAGAATTGCTTCAGATGTAGTTACTGTAAATGCAGGTGTAACAGGTGTAGTGGTTTTAGCAGTCACATTTGCACTTTGTATTAAGTGTAGGTATATGAGAATCTATTTTTACAATGAGAGAAAAAGTAAAAGTCCGACACTCACCGGCCAGGATTACGGATGAGTTCTCTGCTTTCTCAAAAATCACCTGACTGTTTGGCATCAACAAACCAATGTCGATCTAAAGAAACAAGCAAAAGTAAGATGATGACTAGCTTGAGACACTGCAATGTTTCCACTGCCTCAATAACAGCATCAACCTGTTTGAAATCAACATTCAGGTACAACATCTGGCCCTTTAACTACCTGAGAAGGTTTAAGATAAACTCTATGGATTAAAATTAATGGCTACCGTGGTATATAGGTGAGTGAACATCAAGGGACAGCATTAAAAATATTCTCCAGATACCTTCTGTTTCTTCCCAGAACCGTGTCCTCCCCTCAGGATGCTGGGGTCCATGGCTTCCATATCTTTAACCACCAAGATGAACAGCTTTTCGCAGAAACTCAACACGAGCTGGTTTAAAAAAAAAAAAAAAGATGCGTGCACAGGACAAAACGAATAAAAACACACATTGATAATCGGTTTAACAAGCACACACACGTTTAAGTAGTAAACAAGTTTAAGTGATCACACATTTACTCTTAAATTTATTAAAGGTGTTACTAAGCTTCATTTTAAAACTGGTCTCCGGTTTTGTTTTAGAATCAGTATTTAAAGTGTTAAAGCCAAAAAGCACCTGCTGGCCAACACTGAAGGCCTGGTTGTTGAAGTTCTGGAGGACCTCCGCAGCCATCTTGTCTGTGTCGTAGGCCTTGCTGTCTGCATGCTTCTTCTGCAGGAAGTCAATTTCCACGGTCATGCTGCTTACACACTGTTTGGACTTGTCAAACGTGTAGTTTGACACTGTGATGGCAGAAAAGAACAAAATGAAAGCACAAAGTATTTCTCGTTAACCTGAATCATTGCTCATGGGCACTGTAGTGGGGGCTGGCAGACTATTTAACGCTGGATGTGACAGTTTGTATTTTTGCAAACAGCTAAAGTAATGTTTGAAAAAGTGCAGGACTGTAGTGCATGTGTAAAAATGTTTATTATATCACCTAATAAAGCTGTCCGAATAATAAAAATCACTTTATTTTTATAGCAGTTTTCAAAACACAAGATAATACTTCATAGTGGACAAGTGTGAAGTATTATCTTATCAGTTGCCAATTCATATATCCACCATGTAAAGCGCTACATTAACATTTGTCTGGAGTCATGTTATTTGGATAGAAGTCAGCGCTTCTCTTGTTCCATCTCGTTATTTAACATACTACTCTTTCTAAACACTGATCCCAAATGATTTATTATGCCTGCTGATGTAAACGAAAAAGGAGAAACTTTCAAAAAAGACATCATGAAAGTTGTTTTTATCACCACCAGCGCCTACAAACATTTCAGTCTGTTATGACATTAGTAGCTTTAATGTAATTTTATTTCCCAATACTAATAAAAAAAATGAATGCAACTTAAAAAACTGCACTATACTGTCTGTTTGAAAAGGCTATGAAGCCTCATAAAATGTAAATAAAAGCAGAATAAACTGATGTGCAAAACCACAAGTTTCAGATGCAATTTTGCAAACCTGAGCCTTGCTGCCATGTTCTTTGTAAATAGGCAACACTTCCAAAGAAGAATGTGCTCGGTCTCTTCCTGGGAACATTGGCAACTGTTTAGAGTTTTCCACTTGTGAATAATCTTTCTCACTGCAGAATGATGGACTTCAAAATGTTTCGGAATGTGAAAATTGACTTTTTGTAACCACTCCCAGATTGATGAGCAGTTACAATTGATTACTGCTGGCATCATTC